GGGGGGGGCGGGGGGGGGGGGGGGGGGGGGGGGGGGGGTGGGGGGGGTGGGTGGGGGGGGTCATAAAGCGGCGGCGATCCTTTCGTTAAATATTTTGGGGGGGGGGGGGGGGGGGAGGGGGGGGGGGGAAGGGGGGGGGAGGGAGGGGGGGGGGGGGGGGGGGGGGGGGGGGGGGGGGGGGGGGGGGGGGGGGGGGGGGGGGGGGGGGGGGGGAGCAAAGGGGGGGGGGGGGGGGGGGGGGGGGGTGGGGGGGGGTGGGGGGGGGGGCGGGGGGTGGGGGGGGGGGGGGGGGGGGGGGGGGGGGGGGGGGGGGGGGGGGGGGGGGGGGGGGGGGGGGGGGGGGGGGGGGGGGGGCGCGGGGGGGGGTGGGGGGGGGGGGGGGGCGGGGGGGGGGGGGGGGGGGCGCCCGTCCCGCAAATTTTGCTTAAGCGGGGGGGGGGGCGGGGGGGGGGGGGGTGGGGGGGGGGGGGGGGGGGGGTGGGGGGGGGTGGGGGGGGGGGGATATGAGAATAATTTATATCAACAAATGATTGTTGAAGGCAAATATTTTTTACAGAAATAATCTTCATAATATTCATACACAAAATCATCTGCTGGTATAAAATATCTTAGGTATTATATTTATTACGCATTTATTTTGACTCGTTGCGTCAACGCAACCCCAGCGGCTAATGGTTAATTTGATTGTTAATTGTAATGTAATTGTAATACACATCATGCCATTATAATTACACTGTAACTGAACTATCTGCAATTACAATTATGTTATAATTGTGCAATTTAAAATACATTTACACTATAATGTATATTAATGTAATTGCAAGCACAATTACAATGATAACTGCACGATTTTTTTAAGAGACTTCCATCATAATTGAGTTGCAATAGAAATTGCATTGCAATCGTAATTACATATCTAAGTAATTACAATAACAATGTAACTAATAATATTGTAATTGAATTACTTATATTTGCACTTGCATTGTAATTACACTGCAACTGAATTATGCCCAACTCTCATTACTGCACAGCATTTATTTTCTCAGAGTCATTTAAGACTGCACTTCAACTCAGCTTTCATTTATCTGCTTTATGTGAAGTGAAACACGTCAGACGAAAATGAAAGGGGGTAAAAATTAAGCAAGTCACTCTTTCCCACAGCTGTTGTTTCCACGGTTACGAGTCAAATCAAAGGCAGAACATAATGTTGAAATTCCTCTTTTAAAGTAACAGACTTTAGCAGACTACATTGTATACCATTCACTAGTTTTGGTGCCCATGAGTTTTGGAGCAGGTGAAATGTATTGGTGAAATGCTGGTTAACCACTGAGATGAAGATAATCAAATTATAGACAGAATTTAGAATAAATTCAACAATATGATGGCTAATGGTTTGATTGAGCTAGGATATATAAAATTCCTTTCTTTACAAAACTATCACTTTTCTCTGACTTTTCTTTCAGCATTATTGCATTCCCATCTATTCAGATTAATCTGAAGTTTGGCTTGAAAATTCCTATATTCCTCTGTTGGTGTTAGCCATTCTATGCCTAAAAAGTCTATACCAAAATATATTGCTAAGGTTTGTTATGTCTGTCATGCATCTGTTATTCTCTTATTTCAATGACAAAAAAGCAATTAAAAACTTAATTTAAAGTTAAACCTTTACCAAAAAGTCACCTAATAGCTTGATACACAGCGGGAGGGGAGAAAATAATCATTATAATAAAAACGGAAATATTTCAGATTTTAAATTACCTTTTTTGCATTGAAAACTAGCAGGAAAATGTCATCATTCATACTTTCAAATAAATTTAACAAAGTATGTAAACCACATTTGGCGCTATTACTGCTTATAACAAATATGCCAAATTTCAGAATATGCCAATATGTAAATTCACATATATATTAGGAAATTTTGAATAAAAAACTCTAATTTTTTGCAGGTTTACTTATAAATACATCTACTTTAAGATAATGGTAAAAATTTTATAGGTTATAATTCAAACTTTTTTTCGAAAAATTTATAAAAATTTTTTAAAAATACAAATTTTAAAAATAAATCATAAAAATAGGGTTAATTGCATTTGGAATGAACCTAAATTTCGAATTCTGTTAAGATGGAAGAAGAAGGAATCAAGTAAGTTAATAAAAAAAAAGACATATTAATAAATATATATCAAATTCAATTAAAATTAACACCGAGGAGCTAAAATTTTGAGAGCTAATTTTTAAAAAACTACTCGTGCAATTTTTACAAAACTTGGCATTTTGGCATAGTTTAAGTTGTAGAATTGAAATATGGAAAAAAATTGGCATGTCATTTCAGAAAAAATCCGATTTTGCGTCAAAAATACCTGTATTAGAATATTGCTGTATATAAATCTAATACACATTCTAAAGTCGGGCTTTCGAGACATGAAAAACGCAAGTTAAATTTTGTCATTCGGCCTAGTAGAACGGGAGATATAGAAGAGTCTCTTTTTTTTTTCTCGCACAATGTACATCAGTTAATTTATACAACTTTATAATAACTGATATTTTCATATAAAATAAACTGTAAGATTTTAAAATAACATGGAGCTGTATCTTTATTGTCTTGTTTTATAAAACTGTCTTGCATTTTTTAGTGACAATCTAAATGCTTTCTATTTATTCTCAATACTAAGTAAGATTTTTATTAATAAGTAAGATTTTATTATTAAACGGAACAGCAGTTGTTTAACAGTTCACCAAGAGCTGTTGTTGGGAAGCATGCCAAAAAAATTTTTTCCTCTTAACATAAACACTAGCATTCTTTGCTTTATTATTCACCCCAAATGTCTTTAACCTACTTTTTATGTGTGTATGTGTATTATGTATACGTGTGTGCTTTTAGTTTGCTTGTGTTCCATCAAGTATTTAAAAAAAGCATCAAAAAAACCAACGTTTCTCAACAAAACTGATCATCCCTGTTTGAATATGGATGTAGTTTTTATCTTCCAATCTAGAGTGTGAGGATCTGTTTCAAGTATGTAGATTATAGGAACTAGTTCCTCAGATTCCCAGCTGTCAGCGCTCCAGCAATAGTTGCAGATCTGGGTCCTTCGGGGATGTGATTATTCGCTCATTTCATCGCTCCTGTTCTAGCCACAAATCTGGCTACTGCAAAGTCTTGATTATTTGCTCTTTTCACTTCCTCGGAGCTGTTCCTTTGAGTTTCCTTTCAATTCTTTAAATACCGTGTCATAGTACAGCTATGTATATTAGGTATTTTCTTTTTTATACAATATTACTGTAATATTTATGTAAAATAATAAATTATATTTTTATTTATTTACTTATTTTACTAACGTTATGTAATCAAGAACTGTGAATTTTTCTTTAATCTTCTTTAGAGCTAGTATATATTTATAAAGATAAATTTTTCCATCTAATGTACTTTTCAAGATTGGAGAACAAAATGTGGACCCTGTCGAACAGAAGAACCTTGAGAGATACTTGGTATCATTTTGTCAAATTAGATAAAGAATAGGAAAATGCCCGAACTGTCAGCAGAAAATTTCCTGTTCTTCGGGCTCTCACTCCAATCTAAAAATTTGTTTTTACACTGTTCTTTGTAGTAGCAACAAAATATCAATTATAGTAATAAAATAATGTAATCTTTAACAAAACTGAGTTTATTTTTCATTATTTTTTAACTTTCAGAATTTTTTTGTTTATCTATGTAGAAAAGTTTTTTAAGGAATCTCAAAAGTACAGTTGAAAGAAATGAGCCCTGGGAGACAGCAGTGTGGTTGAGTTGATTCCAGCGATACCACTCCTTGTTCAATTCCTTCTGCTTTTCTCCCATCTTTGTACACCACTCTTGATCCCAGCCTGTTCTAAGCGCAGTCATCAAGGTCATTGTTAGTGAAGGGTGAATCGTTAAAAAGAACTGAATCACTTCAGTGAGTGAACGGTTTCGATCTGATACCTTACAGGAGCACTTTTGCCCATCTCTAATTGTTTGTAACCATCTTATATCAACATTTACCAAATCTTCTTCAAGTGGAAACAACTTTTATAAATTAAAATGTTTTGGGGATTAACTTACTCTTGTCTTCTTTAAAAGTAATTTTTTTCAGTATATGCTATTATCAATTACATTTTTAAACTGCAATTAACATTCATTTAATTTTATAATGATATTAAATAAAGGGAAAATATATCTGTTTTTAATAATTCAAGGCTCTTTGCTTTATTAACTAGAAGTTAAATAAATGTTGGTATTTACATTCATGAGATGGATGAGCCTGCAAATTCAAGTTATATTATATGTTTGGATGTATGCTGGTAAGAAGCACCACAGTCAGAACACTTTACATCCATCTTTTGTTGTTAAAACTAGATTGGAAAGTCTGTACATAGAGTAACCGATAATAGGTTTTATTAAATGTCAGTCTTGGGAGAAAATATGATAGATGACTGCCATGTGTAACTTCAAAACTCTGAAATGCTCTCTAAGGTTGGTATGAGCAGTTAATTAAAATTTTGCTTTTGTCTTTTTTTTTGGGGGGGGGAAGCTAGAAAGACTACGAGGGTAGTTCTTGAGGACCATTTGAGGTCAGCAGACCACAGATTGAGAAATGCTGTCTTATGTTATTGGAGCAGTTTCCCATGCACACTGAAGTTATACTGCTATGTATACATATCTATGTGATAACCGTTCATGAAACCTAAAATTTATCATTTGCTACTTTAGGAATGTTCTATAAATGATGGATCTCCAATTAATTGATATAGAATTTCCAATATTTTACAATAAAAAATTTAATATATTTTCCATCTTTTGTTAATAATAACACAATAATATACATTTATTTTACCTTCAGTTGTTCTAGAATTACAATTGTTCTCATTGCTTTTATTCAAAACTATTCCCAAATGAATACTATGTATTTGTAGATTCATTTTTACAAGTTCTTTTCTGCATTAAAATGAAATCGATCTTTAATAAATATTTTCAATTTTTCACTCACCCTCAGTGCTTCTACATCAGAAATAACACTTTTTAATCCAAGATCTAATAATAAAAAATGAGGAAAATTTATATATATATTTTTCTGGAAAGCAGATAATAAAATATTTAAAAAGTATTTAAAAAATAAAATTCAAGACTCTTTTTTGTTCCAATCGAGGTTTTAGTATACAAACTACAAATAATAAATAAATAAACATACACATTACCTATTTCTTTTGAAACCAGTTCTTGCACATTCTCCTTGAAAGGACATGCAAAATAAACATTAATGAAAAACAATACATTCTGAACATTAAAAAAAAATTAAACAAACAATATTTTCATTCAACAAAGAAAAATATGAAGAATTTCTAAGTTTTTTTCTTCAGTCACAAATAAAACTATTTCAGTGAAAAATATTCTGAATATTAATAGAACATCAATAACAATATTGTTATAATTTAAGTAAATATCTGTATTTATTTATAAATTGATTTTTATATATTTGCTGTAGATTTTTTAACTCTGAATTTATTGACACACAAATTTAAAGGACAGCTCAAGAAGAACCAGAGACAGAAAAGAAGTACTCCTATGAAGCTTTGGTGACATCTGGTGATTTCTTACCAACTTATCACCATCCTAGTAAATTTAAGAAAACACTAAGATCTTTTAAAGATCTACAAGCAACTTTTCTCAAAGTTTATGAAAGCGCTTACTCTCCCTCTCAAGCAAAGTGTGTCTGCATACATGCAAAGAGAGTATACACATACAAGTCTGCATTGCAGCCTAGATTCCAGAGTTGTGATTTCAACTCAGGATTGTGTGACTATTTTCCTAATGAGCTTCTCTTGGTTTTATACTTTGCTCTGCTAGTGATTTTAGTAATCTGTGGTATTCCTTATGTGTTTAGGAAACTTTTACTTATCTCGTTTTCTCTCTATGAGCTATTGATAGCTATTCCTTTGCCTTAAGATTTGTTATTCTTCTCGATAGTTTCAAGTTTTCCTGTAGAGCAGGCTTAGTTATTAAAGAAATCTTTATAAATTTATAACATGCAATCATATCAGTTTCAACAGCATTAATATCAGAAGATAAATTATTTTTTACATTTGAGTGTTAAATGAGCTCATTTAGAAGCAAACTTTGAATTTTGTCTCTTATTATTCATGATAACCTTTCATTTTCATGAATAAAAATTCTCTTTAATGTAAAAAATCATAAACTTTTAAATCTTTATTTAAATAAAAAATTTGAAACTTAATGTAAGAATTAAAATTTTCAGTCTCGATAAAAATCAAAAGATGGTTATACTTAGAAGTTTTAAAGATAACTAAAAATATTGTATAGGAGTAAACCTAAACAAAAAACATTAATAGAATTTGTTGAAATAAATTTTGGATCAGCAGGCTACAGAATTCACACAACCATAAAATAATAATTAGCAAATCTGAGTATATAGAAAGTCAAAAATATACAACAGGCGTAAAAAGATAATATGGGAAGGAATGGAATTTTTTGGAAATGCTAAAATTCTGAACTAGTGATATTGTACATATTCTGCAAAATGTTTCCGCAAAAGCTTTATTATTAAAATATTACATATAAAATTCTTGAAAATATTCTCACTTACTTTTATTTTCAGTTCCACTTCTGTACCAATTTTGTCATCTAAAAATTAATTTTGTTTTAGATTTGAAGCAACAAAATAATTTTAAATTCATCCATTTAAAAGATAAACACAAAATACAAACTATATTAATGCATAAAATTTAAGGACCAAAACAAATGTACACATGTGCGTGCCATTAAAACGGTCTAGGCAAATGAAAGTTACATTACTAGCACCTCACGAAACATGATACAATAATAATAATAATAATAATTTTAAAAAACAGATGAATAATATATATATACAGTACAAAGTCTTTAATCCGGACTCGTCGGGACTTCGGTGATTCCGGATTATAGATCATCAGTTTAAATCTGGTAAGATGGCATGCAGAACTTATAAAATTAAAAATATGAAACCATAATTTATGCAATAAAAAACAATAATGATCTAAAGGTATCAAAATTTAAAAAAAAAAAAAAAAAAAGCCTAATATTTATTTGTTTACTTTATTAAACATTTCTTTCAATGTAAGTTGCTTCGTTTTATGTGCTAATACTTTCGCTTTAATTCTATAAACAGACGTAATTTCTTGTTCAGTTACAAAGTTCCACTGTTCAAGTCCTGTAATTGCTGTGCCGAAAATACCGACTAACTTGTCATTCGAAATTTTTTCGTTTTCACTAACCTCTCTGTCACTTTCTTAATGCCTTTATCCAGTTTTTGCAGCAATTCCACTTTTTGTTTGATGGACCTCGAAACATGCTTTCGCTTTGTAGATCCTTTGGCAGCTCCAGAATTGGAAACTCTTTCTGACATAATCGAAAGTTCAAGCTTACTTTTTATAAAATTGCTCTAACAGTCTACAAAAAATAATACGCCGGATCCAATTAGAAGATTAAAGAACAATGCAATCTGCAACATTAACTGAAATAGATAATTAGATAATTTTAGCCTAGCTTATACCATCTATTATACATTAAACGTGCATGCATAAACACATTATTCGCATGCATAAACGCATATGCGCATGCATAAAGGTATGCGTAAACGCTACGCATGCGCAGAAAGTTTGTAGCTTTGAGGTCCGGATTATAGATCATTCCGGATTATGGACGTCCGAATTAAAGACTTTGTACTGTATATAGAGAGAAAATTGCATTTTTGTACCATATTAATGGTTGCCAGTCTCCAGCATGAAAGTCTTGATGAAAGATTGAAGTGGTTCTCAGTAGGGAATGTCAGGTGAATATACCAGCCTTTTATAGTCATTATACTGAAAACTGTGATATTCTGTATATTACTATTATGCATGCAGCTAGTCATTCCCCTCACAGTCCGGCATTTGCTCTTTTTAGCTAGCTGGGCCATATAGAAGATCTCTGCAAATGTAGTTGCATGTGGGTGACCATCACGAATCCATTTAACAGCAGTACTTGTAGTTCTGAAAGCTGCTCAAGCATATGAAATAATGCTGTGGGCAATCCAAATTCTTAAACCATACTAATCCCATTCTGCTGCTCTGTGGGTTTCTTCATGATTTAGTTTTTGGTGAAATCATCCATCCATGGGCACATACTGTGATTAGTAGCATACAGAACAATGCCACTTAAAAACCTATAGCCATAAACCAAAGTCACCACATGTGGCAACTGAATATTTAAAATGCGGTGACTAAAGGAATAAAATTACCAGTTGATTATATCTATACAAAAATTCAAATGATTTCCATAACATCTATTTGAAAATTGGCATTTTAAATTTATACCTCTATTGCCCAACTGCCTTCTGTTTCAATATAGCATACAGTTAATTTTTATCTTCCACCTAAGTTTCTGATACCTTAAGGTTCTGATTCAAACTTATTAAAGAAACATGATTTCCCATATTTCCTACTGTCTCCATTTCAACAGACCACTTTTTCATTTGAACTATTTACTACAAAAGTCTTTCTCTGCAACTAGATTCATTCCTAAAGGGAGGGGGTGTTGAAAACCGGCAATGACAAGATGAAAACAGAGAAAAACTAAACTTTAAACAAAGCTCTTTGTTGGGGAAGGGGGGAAACAGCAATATTTACTCTACAAAAATATCAAGATTCCAAGGATTTGGGAAATTTCCATTAAAAGGGGTTGCCCAATAATAGAATTTCAACTAGGAAAGTAACTAACATCTTATTCATTAACATATACTTATCTATGATTTAATTTCATTTATTTAAAATTATGTAGTAGTCCATAAATTATTGCTCTGTTCAAAATTCATTCATAAAGCCATGATGTCCAATAAATATAAAACAAAGCAAATTAAAGGAAGAGATCTCCCAATATTTGTTTTTCTCTTTTTGGTAAAAACACTAAAAGGAGTAAAAAAAGTAATAATAATAAGATGCAAAGCAAAGCACACTTACCCAAATTCTTCACATTTTCCTAGAAATACAGAAAAAAATTAGCAAAGACAATTTTTAAATGAAAACTTAAATTTTAAAATGAATTCAAAATTATCCAACTTACATGAATAGTGTCTAAATCCAAACTAACTTGCTCTACTTTTTCCTTTAAAACATTACCTAAAATTTAAATATTAGTAAGCAAATAAAAAAAATTTATAAAATATTTGTACTAATTGAATACCTTGTACTTTCATATGTTTTATAAAAAAAAAAGAACGAACTTGCATATGAATTAATTACATATAGTATATGAGCATGACATGTTGAGGGTACTCTGAAAAGTTTAAATACATTACTTTGAGATAAAACTATGTAAATATCGTTTTTAAAAAATATAAAACGTGAGTAATAATAAATTACCAATACACAATGGAATTCTATAATACACATACCTTGAGATCAAGGTTATTGTATTTTGTAGATTATAGGTCACATTTTTCTGAAGTTTATGTAATTTTCTTGCTTTCATTTTTTCTCTTTGATTTTTATATTAAATCTGGACTTTTTACATATGAATAAGTATGCAATACACAAAAAACTATTTCTTTGATCTGCACTTTCCATTAATTTTCTGCTGTTTACAAAAACAGTATATAAATACATGCATGAGTAAAGTTTGCTGATACATAAAATGCACACTTTGAATAATTGCTTTGGAAAGTCACAGGTTTATATTCGAAGGTCAGCCATTTCTACATTAATGTTCAAAACTCAAGCAAAAAATTCATTTTTCATTATACAACCATGAAATTGTTAAAAAGGGCTGTAATAAATAGTACAGTGGAAAGCCAGCTCAGTATAAAGGTGATGCATATGCAAATATCAGCACTTTGATGTCAGAGGGCACACCAGAGCATGCAAAACATGAGGGATCAGTATGTGCATTGCAAGGCAACTTAAAAAAAAAGGCACATTTCCAGGCATTCTTCTGAAAGTGAAAGTGATGTTATATGTCCAGTATGGCTACAAGAAAACATCAGGATGCTTTTACATATGGTAGAATGATTGTAAAGCTTGAGGAAAGGCATACTTTGATGGCTGTTAACCAAAAGATTGGAATAGATCAAAGTGTTGTTTCACGAGTTTGGAAAGCCTTCCAAATGACAGGTACAGCTGTAAGAAAGGTTGGTGGTGATCAGCCAATAGAAGCAATGGTAATTGATGACTTATATATTTCCTATAAGTGAAAAGAGATTGAAATCAGACAGAGGGCAACACTGCTCAGCAGTTGCGCATAGCAACCAGATGGCAGGCACAGTAGTCAGATGACTTCATAAAGGTGGCCTATTCATCCATTGTTTCGAATGCTGCATACCAGGACACAGTTCCATATTTTCAGTAGGGATTCCTTTATCAGAGATTGTATGATAAAGTTCTTCTCTTTCACACGCGTCTTTTCCATGGTTTCTTTGGTTCTGATTTTGTTTATATGAATGGCAATGCACGGCACAGGACTCATACTGTTGAGGATCTCCTGGAAGATGAAGATACTCACAGAATGGATTGGCTAGCATGCTCCCCGATTTAAATCCCCTTGAATGTGTGTGGGATACCTTAGGGAGACAGCTGATAACAGGATCTTACCCTCTGCAAAACACCAGACAACTGAAAAAGATGCTCCTTCAAGAATGGGAACTCTTACCCCAAGAATTGTTAGATAATCTGGTGTTGAGTATCAACAAACTGTATAACGCAAACATTGCCAGTTAAGGAAGGTCATATCCTTTACTAAGGCTCTTTAGCTAGTTCTCCCTCTTGGCCAGACAGTTTTTTGCACCAGACACATTTTGTCAATAAAGCCTTTTTCTATTTGTTCCGTATTTACTTTCCTCATCTTTTAAGTAAAATGTTGTGCATCTGTAGAACGAATTTCATGTCTATAGTGGATTTTTAGCAGAATTACAGCTAAAATTAGAAAAGGTGTTTAAGTTTTGCACATGCTAAAGCTAAGCTTAAATGTATTCTTTTGAGCTTTAGATAATTTACAAAAAAAAAACCTCTATGACTGCCAGAATGGTTGTTTTTTTATTTCTATTGCAGTTTTACTGATATTAAACTTTTCATTTTTCTTAATAAACTTGGGGAGATATCTTTCAGAAGAACATACTTAAATTATCTACTTTAATTCAAGATTCTAATCCTCATGCAGAGTCTTACTCCCCTCATCAGATTAGTTCAGGCTTGATACCCTTTTTTTATTATGTCAAGAATGATAAATGATGCGTAATACAACCTCAAATCTGAGTACTGAGATATCAGAGTAAGTTTCAAGACTTTCAATAAATGAACTGAACCTATTCATATCTTAAGAATTATTTAATCAAGATTTACTGAACACAAAATTATCATATTTTTAAAATATATAATGTGCTAATATACAAAGAAAAAATATAAGAAGGCATTAAGCATTGAGATTTTATGTGGAACTGCAGAATCTTTTTCCAGAAGCATATTGAAGAATTTTATGTAAAATAATTGTATATCCATCAATAATGTCAAACAATAATTTTTGAACTTTTAAAGGAGATAAAAGAAAACGAATAAACAAATACACTGTTTATAAAAATAAAATAAAAATAAAATAAATAAAAAAAAAATAAAAAAAAATAAATAAAAAGGCTTTTAGCATCTCTCTAAATGAAAGCCCACAGAAATCTTGTTGCTATGTTCCACACAAGCACAAACTAATTAATAAGCCTGAAAAAGTGCTAGAATTAAAATTTTGGCTTTGTTAAAAAATATTTCTCTGCTTCTTAGCCCCTTTTTCTTTACAATGGTTGTCTTCTTAAACCAGAAAAATTTCTGCGAGTGCTGTTTTCAAATATCTATTTTTATTTGTCACTGTAAACACATTTTAAAATGCTACACAGTGCATTTAATAGGAATGCAATTTCTAAAATGCTGTGGACAAATAAATTCATAATCCATACCACATAATTTCAGAACTAATGAACAATATAATTTTGAAATTAATATTGAAAGATAAAGGAATGTAATATATCCAAAAATAGAGATTTATCTAAAGGAGGGAAAAAGAAAGAAGAAAATAGAAAGGGGGAGGGGCGATTCATGATCCATATTTAGTACTAAAAAAAGCACCGATGATAGTGTAGAAAGTGCTAAATAACTTAAATAATAAAATAAATTCACCTGAATGATATAGCATATTGTGATAAAAAGTTCGTTTTTATATACACATTAGAAAAAATTGCCATTAGATTTCCCAAGCTGATTTTTTTTTAATGGAAGTTGTTTGTTTACATTAAAAGCTGAGCACAGATTACAGGGATTCATTAATTATCATTTATTGCATTATCAAAAACTTATATATTATTTAAACATTAGACTGCACATATAAAACAAATATGTTTTCAGAAATACATTTTAAGATACAAGACACTAACTTATACATAAACAAACATGATAAAATTAATTTAAAGAGCAGTCATTGCATCTACAATTTATTCTCTTAAATTTTATAAAAAAGGGGGGATGGATAAATTTAAACTCAAACTACCCAATAAAAATTATTATCTTTAATGTTTTTGAAATAGGAAAAGAAATAAAAACTTTTTTTAATTATTATTTTAAATTATTTTAATGAAGTAATACTATTTATTTATTATAAAATATTATTACTATTTTATTTATTATAAAATATTATTACTATAATATGACCAAATAAAATTTTGAATGAAATTATGTTATACCACAAGAAACATTCATAAATCTTACATATCATAAGAAACGGTTTCAATGAAATGCAACACCAGTTTCAATGAAGGTACCACAAATTAATACTTTAAATAGAAGCTTAAAAAATGGCCACCTTAAAAACCAAGTTAATCAGTAAAATCATGACTGAAATGAAAAAATGTATAAAAACTCAGACCATGATTTTGATAAACAACAGGGATAAAATTGAAAACATGAGACACATTAAAATACATAGTTAACATATGCATAATTTGAAAATTAAATGAAATTAAATGATAAAGACCCAACTCTTTCAGGTACTGAAAAAAAAAAAAATATTAACCTCTTTACTGATTAAGCAATGAAAGAGGAAGTCACACTCATTAATATGCTTCAAACACAATCTGTTAAAGTAAGAACACTGATAAAAAAATTATGCACAGACAGAATACTATTACAATTAGGACACACTGGCTCACTTTCTGCTTTTAGAAGGTAACAATGAGTGATTCAGAAATAGCTGATTCTTTAACAAATTAACACCACCTCCTTCTTCCAATTCCTATTTGCCTCCCAATACTCTATTACCAGTTTTACATTCCTTAATTTATTATTCAATTGACCATGGCAGAGTGCTTACAGAGTGCAGAGTGCTGACAGAGTGACAAAGTACCAATGAGATTTACTAAAAATCTTAACTTTAATGATCGTTGTTCAAAGGGACTAGATCACTGGATAGATCCATAGTAGACTTTGCTGTAATATCCACCAGATTTTTGCCCTTTATTTCCCCATATTTCTAGAAACTCAACAATAAAGAATTTTGTATCAATGAAGCTTTAAATTGAGATTTAATTTCATAAAATCCATGACTAAGGGAATTTTTTTCTAATGATTTTAGCACACTATATGAGACAGTATAAACTACAGACTTTCTCTGGAATAGCTTATATATGAAAGTGCATAATAAATAGCAGCCAAAGTGGGTGCAGAGCATTCATCATGTAATCGTTTGCCCTTCATATGATTTCTAGCTGAGGATCTAACATATCTATCAGATTTAGATTTATCTGTATAGGCATGTAATTACTATATTAATGTCTGTGCTCAGCAAAAAGTTGTTTATATGCAATGTTGCTAGTATTTCTCTTATCAAAACTGAGAAAAATATCCAGAAGCTGAATATGCATATCCTTAAGATACAATAACAACATGCCGAACAAATGTTAATTTACAAGTCAAACAACAAAATATCTAATCATCATATCTTATCTCGTTCATTTGCGCTTTTGCACCTGAGAATGATGGTTCGGTAAAACCATCGAAACTAGTCCTGTGAAATTTTTTAAATATAGCGCTGATTTTTGTTGTTTGACTTCTAAATTAATGCATATCCTTCCTAAGCAGAATTTGTAGATGTT